TAATAGATCAATGCTGTGACGATCTTAACTGTCTCATTTAGCTATCTATATATACAGAGAAATATAAGAATACATTTACAGCCGAGTCCCGATAATTCGAAATGGCAAGGGGATAAGTTTCTGTTTCGATTTACATAGGATAGAATGTTTTTCCAATTGTCGCGATTTTCGATTTACAAATTTCGGGGTACAAAGTAAGGAGATTCGACTGTAATTCATATAAAATATATCTGAAACTTGCCAGACGCCCACTGCATGATTGCTATCTTCTTTCTTACGCAAATACATCTATTTTATAAAGTATATCAATTTTATATATGATATGATAGGATACGCAGTGCATCCGATTAAGAATTCTTTCACCTAACACTGCCTTGTATAATTAAGTACAGTATTTCCTTATTGAACGAACAGATTGGCCCGAATCTTAGTAGCTATAAGCTGCCCGCATTTGTTTTGTATGTTGTTTTTGTTTTTACTTTTTCAAATTGATTATAAAACAAACGAAATCCCCTTCTTATTATTTATATTTAAATAATGTGATATTATCATAAAATTTCGCATGTGTGCGATTCCACAGAGAACTCGACTAACAAACACTCAAGATCAGAAAACATTTAAACAACAATTCTAAATATATACTTATTTGGTTAGATTTAATTTTATATATATATATACATATATATTTCAAAAGAAATAAATTTTAGATTTAAGTTAATATATATATATATTCATTATAAATAAATAAATATACACATAGACTCCAAATCTTTGGTTTTTAATAATAATAACAGATATTATTATTGATGCTTTTTCACCATTTCTACAAAATTCCATTTTGAGATGTTAATATAGATAAGATCTTACAAATTTTAATTTATTTTAGGAAATAGAAGATATTTGTTTGACAAATTAATCTCATATATCAACCATATACATTTTTCTAAAGGGTGATATTTATTAATTAATCAGTAATTCCGAAAAGTCTGTTGTCAAACAATTTATAGCAGCACTTTCAAAATTCTATAGCTATAGACCACATTCAACTGTTTATTATAACCTACCTTGTGTATACTTCTATTCATGCTTATAAACGATTGAAATAAACATTGATATCAACACATTGATATCAAAGGTTGTTGATAACAACGTGCACAGATTGTACAGTTGAATCCCCAACGAAATATCAAACAAATGTATATATATACATAGATGTGGGTACATGTATATATATGTGTATATATATCGACTCATTATGAGTTTTCTGATTTTTCAAATATGCTCCCATTTTCAATGGGAAATCAGGGTATGATGGTTTGGTTAAAAGTATGTAACAGGCAGAAGGAGGTGTGGCCGACCCAGTATACCAGGAGCATATTGAGCTTTGCTTCGAAAATCGATAACTTGCCTCATTATTTTCTTATCGATTAAAAACATTATGGAAAACCCTTAATAAATTTATATCTTCTACATCTTAAAAGCAAGAGTCGCCTAATTTTAAACGTAGATTAATATATACTTTATAGAATTTCGATTTTTGTCAATATTTACCCCCCACTCCTATATTTACCTCCTCACCAGTAAGTTTGTAAAAGGCGTATTTCAAATACTAGAGACTTGTGCTTTGACAGATACATGCATATTTATATTATATTCATTATCTGAAAGTTTTATGTAGATAGTCCACTCACGAAAAAAGTTATTTAACAATTAAGTTCCCATAGTAAGCCACCACTGCAGCCAATACCTGTGTGTGTGTGCATGTGCGAATAATTATTGAAATATCAGTTGCTCAAAGGGTTCCGGGGATCTCGTAGTCGAGCAGTCTCGACTAGAGCTTTCTTACTTGTTAGTTTAAAATATAAGATTTTTATATCTTGAACCGATTGAAAATGGGAAATCGGGGTATAATGGTTTTGTGAAAAGTATGTAACGGGCAGAAGGAATCATCGCAGACCTCATTAAGTATATATATTCTTGATCAGGGCGATGAGCCGAGTCGATATAGCCTTATCCGTCTGTCCGTAAGTCCGTATGAGTGCGTCGATCTCAGGAGTTAAGTGCTTGAGCTCGTACGCAGTACAAGTTTATCATATTTTTTTGATAACGCATCCGATAACTTTTTATCGAGAATAATCGATAAATTATTTTGTTTTTTTCAGCCTAATTTGAACACTTTTAGACCTGGAGACTTCAGATTTACTGTGTATATAAATATGCAGAATACAAAGACTTTGTGATTTACAGATTTTTGATACCACGCCCCCCTTTGGAAAGTACACACATTTCAACCATATGATCACGCTAAAGATAGTCCTACTACAAGAGTAATTATTGAACTAATAAATTATCATAATATTGCCCACACTGCATTGCAGCCCAAGCGTTGTCGCTGCTAACTGCGCAGCCAGCAGAGCGCATGCTTATGTGCATAAAATAAGTGCAGAGGGAGTAGAATATCAGCTTAGAGGGTTCAGGGTATCTCCTAGTCGAGCACTCTCGACTGGAACCTTCTTAATTGTTTTATAGGTAGTGCAGTTCGTAGTGTAACCCATAAGTCGAGTAATTTATGGCTAAAGTTCAATTCCACCTGTGCATGGAATAGCATTATGTACGAATATCTATTTGCGATAACAAATAATAATAATTAGTTGCTCTTCCTAAAAATGTAGTAGCGAAAGCCACAACAACAAAAAACTCGATTTAAGTAAAAAACAGATGTATCATGTTTAACGATAATGCCCTTATCTTGCGTTATAGACAGGTAAATAAAAATGCTTAGATGTATGCATAGACATATATAAGCGAAAACTGATAATTAAGCCAGTGACAGTTAGGCAATATGTGCCGAAAGAGTGTAAAGGCAGGTAGATGATTTAACTATATAGAATGCATAACTCTCCATTATCCGTATAATTTAACCATCCAAGATGACCCTTGCCTAAGAGGCACTACAGCACCTTCTGATGGGCACTGTAGTGCCTCTTATATCTTCTTTACATACTTCTCGTTGAATGCTGTCAGTTGAACTATATTCAATATCCAATAATCAGCCAGTTCAATTGCACTTGGGTCTCTGGTTTGTCCGAATTTGTGTGCTGCTCCAATTGTCATTAGGCGATGCGTCATGGCCCATGACGACATCAGAGTGAGTTCCGATTCCGATTCCGAGTTCGAGACCGAGACCGATACAGAGCACGAATGCCCAAAAACTCGATCCACAGCCCACCGGGCTGACAGTCGCGCATAGACCACAGACGTGGACAGTAGTTGGCGGTTCATAATATATATATATATATACACTGTATATATACAATATATACTATATATTCAAATAGGGTCGCAAAACGTGAAAAATTAAAGCCAACCATATATGTGCATACAGCTACACGGTAAAAAGTACGTCGCGACAAATATATGTTTATATATTCATATCATATATATATAATATATATTATATTATATTAGAGACAATTGCGAGCAGAGGTCGAGTGAGCGTGGAAATTATACAAAGCTTTGTGTCGCACAGTTAAAGACGAATCAAGGCCCGCGCCTATATAGATATCGAACTGTAGCGGCACTGATAACACGCCAGCTACACCTCGTTTGCCACTCTGACTAAGCCCCAACCCCAGCCCCAGCACTAGAGATAGAACTAAAAGTAACTGTAATTATATACAAGTTCAACTGTTAATCAGTTCAGTGATAGCCCAAAGGCTTGTCACATCTATGACAAATCATTCGTTAAAACTGAAGCACCTGGTAGCACGAGTCCATATCTAATCACTAAAACATGACGATTGCAAATCGCCCGGAAATATACTTTTGACTATTATCTGTGCCCACCTAAACCGAACTTCAATAAATCAAAGTTCTGTACCACCAGATAGCCGCGTCCAAAAAATACATCCCACCCACCACAAGTCATGTCGTCCATTGATAATCTGAACATCCGCCCGTTGAGCGCTGAGCTGGCTCTAAAGGCGCAGAAGGAGCTGGGCGAGGTGTCCGAACGAGTGCCGGAGGACATTGAGACGATACGCACATGGATCTCAAAACAGCCCCACCTGAAAGCACGCGAGGATGCACAATTTCTGGTCGCCTTTCTGCGCGGCTGCAAATACAGCCTGGAGAAGACGAAGCTCAAGCTGGACAACTTCTATGCGATGCGAGGCGCTGTCCCGGAACTGTACAAGAATCGCCTCGTGGGCGAGAAACAGCTGAACATACTCAAGACAGGGTAGGTGCCATGAAAGCGGATGATTATCTCTCATATACTCTATATATGTACACGTATATATATTTTAGCTGCCTGCTGCGACTGTCGCATCCGCTGCAAGTGGACGGTCCACGCATTCACATCTCTCGCTATGCCCAGTACGACTCCAGCAAGTATTCCATTGCGGAGGTCATGCAGGTCAACACCATGCTGGGCGAGATACAGATCAGAGAGGACGACAATGCAATGGTATCTGGCTTTGTGGAGATCATCGACATGAAAGGCGTCACCGCCGGCCACATGTTCCAATTCGACGCGGTCCTCATCAAGAAGCTGGCTGTGCTCGGCGACAAGGCGCTGCCATATAGACCCAAGGGCTTCCACTTCATCAATGCGCCATCCATGGCCGAGAAGGCAATGTCCATAGCCAAGAGCTTAATGAGCGACAAGATACGCAAACGGGTGAGTTCTGAAGGCACTGGAAATGGGAATATATACATAATAACTATATAATGTCCACTTTCTCCTGCCCAGTTCCATATACACACCAAGCTGGATTCTCTCTACAAGTACGTCCCTAAGGAGTATCTGCCCATTGAGTATGGCGGCACCAATGGCAACGTACAGGACGTCATCGATACCTGGACGAATAAGCTGCTAGAGTATACGGACTTCTTCCAGGAGGATGCGGCCTACGGTACGAATGAGAAGCTGCGACGTGGACAGCCCATCAATTCGGAAACGCTGTTCGGCATCGAAGGCTCCTTTCGGAAACTGGACATTGATTAGTTATACGTTTTATTGTAGTACATATTTATAAAACATAATTTTTAATGTTGTAAAAAGAATCAGTTTAACACAAATTTCAAATAGAAACAAACGATAAAGTTGAACTATATGAAGATTACCTATGCAGACAGTTAGAATCTGCTTAAAGCTAGTAAAACAGACAGAACATAAATTAAATACACTCAGGCACAATTAGACTAAAAAGGCAGGGAAAAGTAAGGGAGCTAGACTAGATCGGCTTACAGCTTAGCTGCCTGCTTAGCCTTTTGGTTAACGAACTCGTAGGCGATATCATTGTAGGGCTTGGATGCGATGCGCACGCGCTCTAGCCACTTGGCCACCTTTGGGAATTGTCGTTCGTTCACATGGAACTGGCAGAGTCCTGCGAAATACAGAGCATTAGTAATGGAATACCAAGGAGCACTGCTGTTGGATCGCTTACTCAGCTGTTCTATCTCAGAGGAGCACGATAAATCTGCCACTGTGAGCTTGTCGCCAACCAAGTAATCATCGTTCATCCAGAAGCGCTCTAGGAGATCCAGACTGGTCTCAACATCTTTCACAAGTTTGGCAACCACCTCCGGCTTGGGCTTGGGCGCGAGTCCATTGATGGGCAATAGCCAACCCTTTAGGAAGTATGTGCCACAGGGCACATGCACGTTTCGGAACTGCCACATCAAATACTCATCCACACGAGCACGCGTCTCCAGATCCTTGGGATAAATCTGCTGGCTCAGTTTATTCTTATCCGCAAGATAACTGGAATTAATGAGAATAAAACTTAGTGCTGACCCCTTTCGCCTGATATTTATACTCACCGGATCATGGCCACGCTCTCAGAAAGGTGGAAGCTCCCATCCACCAGTGCGGGCAACTTCTGGAAGCGATTGATCTTCTTGTACTCATCGGTCAACTGCTCACCTGCAAACACAAACTCGAATTTGATTCGCCGCCCACAGCTCTTGGCGCACTTTAACTTACGTTTGCGCAGCGCCACGGGGCAGGCTTCAAATTGCGTTTTGCTCAATTTGAGTGCGAGCCACACAGCTCGCGATGGCGGCGACAGGAAGTCGTAGTACAACTTTAGAGCCTGAGCCATATCAGTAAATTAATCCGGCAGAACTCTCCGGAACCGACTGAATCAGCTGTGGTGCAAAGTTCGAATTTCGCTGCTGCTCAGCACTGTTTACCCCGTCTTCGTTTTTCAGCACTGCTCTGGCGTACCTATAGAGCTGTCCCGCTCGCACTTAGCTGCTGCACTGAGTTGGCGCGAATTTCAAATGCACAAGAAAGTTTCATCCAAAGCAACTCTTATTCCACTGAAAAATCAAAGTTTGTTCCACAGGAAAACAATCAATCACATCAAATATTTAAAGTGACAAGTTTGGCATTACATTTAATACTTCAATGAATTTTGTTATTCGGTTTTCGTTTTTATCTCGTAGCTGGAGCATGCTGAAACTTTTATCTAAAGCATAGATAATGTCGCAGCATAAATGCCAAGGCGAGATACGTCATAGGCTTATCAGCAGCGATTACTAAGTGAATAATGATAGCAGCCAAAGAAAATATCAGCTTTGCGATTGGGTGTGTTGTTGTTTGTTGTTATATATTTTTTGACATTTAAACAAATTCGCTTTAATTTATTAACGTACTCAACATGGGTCGCTACAATACACCGGCAATTATATATGTAATGTGTATATACTAAATATATATATTTATTTTATTCAATGTTTGTATATGTTTATGTGTAAACTAGTATCAAAAATTAGTAGAAACGACACTTAACTAAATCAAAAATGTTCAAAAATTAAATACATATATATATGTATGCATATGCATATGCCTATGCATCGGTATGTTTGTACGAATGCATATTCAAAATAAAAGCCAACATCAACTTAGTATAGTATACACATATATATGGTATGATATATATACATATATATGTATGTATAAGTAGAAGACGTCCATTGTGAGCGAAATGCGGCGAGGAAAACCAAGTGGGGAACGGTAGACATATGGATGAGGCTATGTGCGTTGATAAGACCGACAATAAATTATAATCGACATTCATGAGGTTTTTGGCCATTTAATGGCATTTTTAGTTTTGCATTTTTTTCTTACAGTTTTTTAGTGCGCAATTTGTTTTTGTTGTAACATTGTTCAATTTGCTTTCAGTTTCGATGTTGCTTCTATGAATTGTTATAAAATATCAGGTTCCAGCTATGACCAAATTTCGCTATAGCATAGTATGTAAGTATATATATACACGTAGATATATATATATATATATATGTAGGGACTCATATATAGACAGAGTGAGGTGTGTATAGTATGTGCATTTGAATATACAACTAACTGCTATGGCCACGGCCACTGCCACAAGCACAGCCACTAGCCACTAGCCACTAGCCACTAGCCACTAGCCACTATCGTCGTCACAGCCTCGGCCTCAATCGAAGTTCAGCTTGCGAAATGTGCCGTCCTCGTTGGCAGCAGCGGCAACCAGCGTGGGTCGCGTCTCCTTCTCGCTGGCGGCGCGCAGCTTCTCGTCGACGCCGTAGCGCTCATCATCCTTAAAATAGGGCGTAAAGTTGGTCAGCTGCGACTCATAAAATGCCGTGGCATCATTCAAGGAGCCATTGTTGCCGCCCAACTCCACCGGCAGGTACTCCTTGCCAATGGCCTTGTACAACGACTCCAGATTCGGATGTATGTGCAGCTGAAGGAAGAGAAACAAGAACTCGATGAGAAAGAGAGCTTATTACATACAATGGTTCTTTACTGGCTACGTACCAGCTCCTTCTGTTTCATCACATTGCGGATAATGGTGAGCACAAACTGTGTTTCTCGCGATGCATTCACGATGTGCGTGGCCACCAGGTTCGTGGGAATGCCATGCTCGAGGAAGGAATTCATGCGTCGGAACAAGCTTGGGTCGAACTGCAGCAACAGCGAATAGGGAATTTTGGTGAAATCAATAACCTCCACAACGCCAGCTATATTCCAGTTGTCGTCGGAGTTGATCTCCATTTCAGAGCGGAAGGCATGGAAGCGAAAGATGTCGGATACACTATGCTTGGAAGTCTCTATGTGTCCCATGCGTGTGAAGTGTATACGTGGGCCGCCCGGACCAATGGGATTAGGTAGCGTTGCGAATATGCTGATAAAACGATAATGAAGCTTATTCTCTAACTCTCTATCATTCTCGCTCTCTCACTCTCTATCTTTGGATTTCGATTTCGACTTCGAGTCCGACTCACCCAGATCTAGCCAGCTCGAGCAGTTTGTCGTCCACAAAGCGACTCTTGAGCAGGCCGCGCTCCTTGGACTTGTAGTTGTAGAAGAAGAGCACACGTTTCTTGGCCTCCTCCAGATCCCAGCGACAGAAGCGCAGAAATGCAACCAAGAACTGATCTTCGGTACGTGCCACCAGATAGCTCTGTTCCTCGATCCACGCGCGCAGGGCTGCAATGAGCTCATCCCGACTCGCCGGATCCTCGTTCAGCTCAGTGCGCGCCACTTCCGCCAGCTCTGGCACCAGCTCTCGAATCTTGGCCATAGTAGTGTATGATAGCTGCAAATTTGTTTTCGAAACTTAAAGCAAACTGACAATGTGTACTGGTGGCCGGGAGGGTCTTGGTGGTGTGACTTGTGTGCTCCGTCTGGGCTGAAACACAACTAATATTTAAGTCGATGGCTGCCTTGTTTTGACCTGGAGCAAACAAGTGTACCCTATGCTAGCAGTAGCAATTGGGGCGATATAGACGTGACCAATGCACAGTGGACCGAAATCGGCTCAACATTGTCTTATCGATTTATTTCATACTCAAAACAAGAATTATTGTTTCTCGATAAATTAATATAATTTGTCAAACAAATTTATATGTATTTAAATACGTAATTATGGTCGTTTCTTGAGAAAAATTAAGGTTCACAACAAAAATAGAGGAGAAAGCAAAGGAAAAGTTTTTAATTACGTATATGCCTATATTTCGCATGGCAAACATGAGCTTTGGTGCCACTGTGCAGACACAGTCGAGCGATAAGATAAGCCTGTAGTAGATATAACTGTAGCATGGCATCGATTACCCGCCAGATATCAACAAATGCGAACTTTGCTATGCGACTTTTACAGCTGCATTTGTCCCCATCCAAGTTTTCCTCGACGTTCATTCTATACGTCCCATGGCTGCAAGATTTTGATGATTAACTATTGGCAAGCGAGATCTTCTAGCAACAGCTGTAATCTTATCGACAATTAGAAGAGAGAGCAGGGCGACCATCTAGAGTGCTCAGCCACTTGACGTTAGCGGCGAGCATTATCAGAGAGTACCGAATGATTAGCCATAAAATGGCAAGATTAGAGGCAACTGATTAGTGGCCAGAAATGGAGAATTGGGCAATTTCAGTAGTTGCACAGTTGCCACGACGCACGGTCGAGATCCGTACAGAAGCAGGTTATGGCCGAGATACGTCCAATCAGCGCCGAGTTGCGCCAAGTAGCCGAAACGGAGCTGAACGAAGTGCCGTCGCGCTTGCCCGACGACCTGAAAGCTCTGCGGGATTGGCTAGCCAAGCAGCCGCACCTGAAGGCACGCCAGGATGCTCAGTTCCTGGTTGCCTTTCTGCGCGGCTGCAAGTTCAGCCTAGAGAAGGCCAAGTCCAAGCTGGACTACTTTTACACGCTGAAGACCATGATGCCGGAGGTGTTCGCCAATCGTCAAATGGACGAGAGGAACATTGCGGTGTGTCGTGCAGGGTAATTAATTTCCAATTCTATTTAATAGAGTTTCATTTCCATATACTCTTTTCAGCACATACGTGCGCCTGCCCAAGCCCTTCGGCCCTGGCGGACCGCGCATTCAGTTGACGGACTACTCGAACTTCGAATCGAACGGCTTTAAGTTGATCGATCTGTTCCGGTATCAGACGACGCTGCTGGAGCACCTGGTGCGCGAGGATGACAACGCCGTCATCAGTGGCACCATCGAGATAATCAACATGTCCAAGATGAGTCTCAGCCTGGTTGCCCAAATGGACATTTCGCTCATCAAGAAAATGGGCGTGTTCGCCGATAAGGGCACTCCCATCCGGCTAAAAGGCGTCCACTTGGTCAACTGCCCCAAGGAGGCGTTAACTGTGCTCAATCTGGGCAGAAGTCTTATGCCCGCTAAACTACAAAATCGAGTAAGTGCAAAGTCGACATTTGAACGATGAAATCATTTCTGTACCTACTGAAGGGAAAGCAGGGTATATTTTTGTAAACATGAGCGAAAGAGGCGGGAGACGGATAGCACACCCCATGAAATGAAAAAGTATATACCCCATTTCATATATACATATACAATGCAGCGATCTCATAAAACACAAAGGCTCGAAACTGGAAATCTTAAATATAATAGGATCCTTTATCGTTGATAAAAATCAATCGATTTCTTTTCTAAGAGTAGAGTAAATATAACAAAAGCTAAAAATATTCAATATAGTGGGGAAGCTTTTAAAATGAAATGGAGAAATAATATATATATATTTGGATAGGTTTAACATATATGCAGTACTAGAAACATTTACCTTAGGAAACTCCTACATGCTAATATCATTGAAAAAATATGATTCAGTAATTTTATCGGAAATAAAATTTAATATGTATGTATGTGTGGGTATATGAATGTGTGTACATAAATTATCGACTATGTACATATACAAATATATGAAAAGTTCAAAGTATCGCTTAGTCGACCAGTTTCGACTAGATCACTTTTATTCTCTCAAATAGAAAAATTATAAAAGAAAACTTGAAGTAATGAAATAATTTTACTCAATCTCTCCATTCCACATGTACAATTTCAATATGTACTTTAGCTTTGGTTAAACTCTATTTTTTGTTGACAAACCATTATTCGATAATCCATTGCTATCAGGCGCTTATCGCAGTTTGTTCAGCTGTTGGGAACCGAAATTTCTTTGATAAGTCATATAGAATCGCAAATCGATTTCAAATTATGGAAAATAAATATGGCTTTCGCGGAACTCTTTTACGGGATTCGATAGTGAAACACTCCCAATTCAGTTGAAGGGGGTTTCATCTAATTTCAATACGCTGACTTATCACCCTCAAATTATTTTAATAATTGATTTAACAGCGGTCATAAATTAACAACGGTCGAAATTTCGAGGGGTTTTATATACTCATTCAAGAAGGTGAAATGAGTATATTGGTTTTGTGCAATGTCCGTCTTGCTGTCCGTCCGGTTGTTCGTATTAACGCAGTTTATTTCGGCGCTATTAAAGCTAGAGACTTGAAATTTGAAACACATACTCGTGTATAACTCAGACTTATAAAGTGTTAAAATTTTCCTGATTTGCCCCATAGGGGCGTGGCAAATCAGAAAATGCATTTTTTGATGTACCAGAAATCATTTTAGTTGAAGAGCTAGAAAGCTGAAATTTTGAATGTAAATCCGCGTTGACCACCTAGATTAAAAGCTATGGTAGAGATATCTACGCCCATTGGGAGCGTGGCAAGTCCGCTGAAACTGCATCTTCCAGAGTTTTAAAGCTAGAACGCTTCACCTCACGTACAATGCTATGATTCTATAAAGACTGAAGAAAATATTATATGTCTACGCCCCCTAGGGGCGTGGCAAATCGGACCTGAAGATATAGAGATTTTTCAAATTCTGCTATATTTTAGGCACTATTGATGCTAGGCAAGAGTTTATCTCTCCTGGTATAATGTTAATAAAATATAATATTTATATAATGTATATAAATATATAGTAGAAATGTATAATTATATATTTCAATACAACATTCATTTTCTAGAGCACGACAACAGAATAGTTATGTTAGTTAAGTGCTAACCTCTCCCTGCCTCCTTTAGCTATAATGACTATTCTGATATTTTTCATTTTCATAATAAAATGTAATCAGCTGAAGCTGCTATCTATTCATATTATTTTTACATTCTGAGAAAATTTGCATTTCAATTCATTTCACAGTTCCATGTGCACAGGAATATGGAGGAACTCTCTCAGATAATTCCACGCGAATATATGCCAGAGGAGTATGGAGGCAGCAATGGGCGTATTGCTGATATCGTGGCACAGGCGGAGCAGGATATGCTTAGCTATAGCAATTACTTAAAGGAGGAGAGTAACTATGGCGTTGACGAACAGCTGCGACCGGGTAAACGTCTAACAGCCGACTCGCTATTTGGGATTGAGGGCTCCTTCCGCAAACTGGACATCGATTAGATTAGCTCACATTGAACTGAAATTAAAATTAAAGGAAACCCCCTTAAATTGTCATAATTTAATTACATAAATGCCAAATGGAAACAAAATCTTAAAGCAGTGCGTGAAGCAGCAGCTACTGGAGGGTAGAAAACGAATTGCCTCGGGGCCGTAATCCGTGCTATATAAATATTGAAACTATCAGAGCATGTTAAGAATAGCGAACGAGGTTCAGTATAAGCTAGAATAGGATTAGAACATGGATGACATAATTTACAGAAGCGAATTGTTAGAATAATTCTAAACATAATTAAGCCCATAAGGAAAAGTGCTAAAATAATCTATGTAAAAGATAACCACAACTTCAAAAATAAATATTCCCAAAGCCAAAGCCGAGCTATTTATGTAGATAGAATTGTATAATATTGTATATATTTGCCCGTGACTAAGTTCACAAGGATCAGATAAACTTTATTCGATTTAGGATGCAGATCTGTTTTAATGTAGTTATTTATATATATACAAATGTTTGTCAGAGAATCGCATAGAGGTGAGTCAGCAATCAGGTTTTTCGTGAGAAGCGCATAGAGCGGTAGTATCATTGACAGCTGATCAGAATTGAATAAGAGCTTTGCAAGAGGTAAACAACGCCCACAACCCCCAGAGTCAAAGCGTCAAATTCGGATGCTTTTAGTGTGCGGTATCAGTGACAAGTGTTAATAGCCTTATCTATCAGTTAAGTGAATTAGACAGGATCAATAAATGTTCATGTTAATTTGCATGTTACAGCCAGCTGTACAAGTCAGTTGCCCGGCAGGAGTCGACTAGCGAAGAACAAAAATGGATGCACATAACTATAGTAGTATTGAAGTGAGTTTTCTATTAAGGCTAATTCCCTATGCCTATTACTATTTCTGCACAATCCATTCAAACAGTTCGACTTTAGTCAATGGGACTTTCCAGCGGAGCGTATTTGGCGGCACAAGGCGATAGAGGAAATCGCTTGGAAAGTTTGCTCCTTCTTGCCACTGATTATATTTGGCTTGTATGCCAACTACATCTTGATCTATCTGATAGCTACGAACCGTGCGCTGAGATCGCCAACGAACTTGATTATAGCCAATATGGCAATGGCGGACTTACTAACCCTGCTGATATGTCCCGTAATGTTTCTGATCAACGACTTCTATCAGAACTTTCAGCTCGGCTGGGTGGGCTGCAAGCTGGAGGGGTTCCTCGTCGTTGTCTTTCTGATCACAGCCGTGCTGAACCTCTCAGTGGTCAGCTACGATCGCCTCACAGCCATTGTTCTGCCTCAGGAGACTCGTCTAACGCTGCACGGCGCCAAGATCGTGATCGCCTGCACCTGGCTGACGGGTCTGCTGCTGGCACTACCTCTCGCCATCTACCGGGAGTATCGGGTGCGCATCTGGCGCAACTTCACCGAGCGCTACTGCAAGGAGAACACCAATGTCCTGCCCAAGTACTGGTATGTGCTGATCACGGTGCTGGTCTGGCTGCCGTTGAGCATCATGCTCATCTGCTACACGGCCATATTTATTAAGGTAAGAGTCCCAGGAACGAGTCTAGTAGACTAAAAGATAATCCAGCTACATATGTATACATATACTAAGGATATTCGATTCTGTGAGCCTACAAAAATATTTTATTATTTAATTAGAATACATTTGTAGACTTATATCAGCTTATATCTATAACAGAATATATTTTCCATCTTCAATAGCTTTTGAGTTTAATCTCAATAGACATTTATAGATCTACTCCAAACATTTTGTATAATCAGGCATACTTATGGCCTCAAATAACTATATATCAAAAATCAAGCTCTAAAAAGTCTGAGTAAGATTCCATCAAAAGCAAGCCAAAAATTCCAAGAATTTGAATACATCAGATAGGCCTTTACCCATTGTAAGTACAGTGAACTAACTTATGAGACCTTACCTACTCCCCAGCTGGATCGCTATGAGAAGCGCGTTTTGAGTCGCGAAAATCCCCTGACTGTCAGCTATAAGCGAAGCGTGGCTAAAACGCTCTTCATAGTGGTTGTGGTGTTTGTGGTGCTGCGCCTTCCATTCACCATTTTTGTGGTGCAGCGCGAGAAGTACTACAAGACGGCGGAGAGCGTGGGCTGCGGCACCCAATACTTCTCGTACTTCTCGCAATACCTGATGTTTGTCAACGCCGCCGTCAACCCGATCGTCTACGGCTTCAACAATGAGAACTTCAGGCGAGCCTATGCGCAAATTGGCTGGGTGAAGCGACGACGAGCAGCCTCTGCAAACCGCGCTCATAATTGTTGTTATTGCGACTTTGTGAAAAACAGAAACGGTGCAGTAGTAACGGCAGACCAGAACTTGAATAAGGAGATATCGCAATCAGCTGTCGAGGAAACCAAAAATCTGGAGGAAACTACTGACAATCTTTCCATTGCCAAAGAGTCTCTAGTGACACGCCTTAATAGCGATGGATTTATTTAAAGTATGCTGGCCTTGCATACTAGTTATACTAATTACTTAAAATATTAATTATTTAAATATTTGTCTATGAATTCTTTAATAAATACCCCTTATATTGTATATTTGTTTAGAATATCTTATAAGCGATATTATGTTTAACCAGGAGTTTGGCTAATAATAAACAAGTAACCGCAGCAAACTCCATACGGTCCCATAAGCGGTCAAACTATTTCAATAATATTCAATAATTTTACTATTCTTACTTAATGTCACCTTTCAGTTTTTTATATGTATACTGGAATTTTCTTTTAAAATTTTGTCTCTATTATTTTGTCACTTTCATTAAATGTTTCAATGCGTCAGAGCTTACACGAATTTTATTTCTTTGATCCTCGCTTCTCCTATCCCATGCTTCTCTATGTGATCTGAAAGTCTTCCTCTCTCACTCTTGACACTCATTCTCACTCTCTCTCTCTTCCTGTGTCTCTCTTGCGATAGAGTTTCTTGCGCTCATTCAACACCAAACTATTATATGATACATTGAAACCATTCTCAAATTCGAATGTAGATCTTCTGCAGCTCTGTAATTAAGGGCCTGCCCCTATGCATTGTAATGCAGCGCTGCAACTGCTTTCATCGAGTCTGAATTAAGCTCCCACAAGCTTCCTCTTTCGTCTGATCTCTATTGCCCTCACTCAGTGCTTCTCACACACATTGAGCATCAGCGAAAGCTTGGCCAACGGTTCTAAAAGCTCAAGGTCTTCAGTTGAGCATAAGTTTCGCTTGGCGAAACACGTGTTAAGTGTTGTCTTATTCAATGTGCCGTTTAGTTTGTGTATTAATATTCCACTGGCTATTGTGGAAGCATGGGCACGCCTTCGAGGTGCTCTTCGGGGAGAGCTATCCTGGATATCGCATTGGTTCAGACCTGGACGCAGAGTCGCAGCGCCTGCACAAGCGCGACATGCAACAGTTTTATGACAAAGGTTTACTCTCTTTAGAAAATATAAACAACAGAATTTATTTACAGTATTTGAAGTTGAATTTGGATCCATTCGAAAATCTTAGGCTAAACCAAACAACTCAGATTTCATGTAGCCCGTGCCATGATCCTCGAGAAACCTGATGAACTGGCCCATGTTAATGACGCCCTCCTCGCCGTCGGCGGCTGAGGAGTTGAAGAGTTGCTCAGTGAATTGCTCGAAGCGGCGCTTGCGGCACGGCTCGGTGCGCACCAGGCTAATTTTCTGCCAGCGCAGGGCCTTGATATTGCGCCAATATTCCTGCACGTTCTCCGGCTCGCCCTCCACGCAGATGATGCCCGGCTTGCCGGGCCTGCTGAATCCGGTGAGCTGCAGCTGCCGTGCTTGACGCACAAGCTCCTGCCGCTTGGCGCTCGACTTGATATGATGCGAGTATATCCAAAGCCGTTCTAGCTGCATGCCTTTTGGCTCCTTTGGTTCCTCCGATGGCGGGCACTCCAGTTCGCTGGACGTGCAGCTCATTAGGGCCTCAATCTGATCTTGCAGCCAGCTGAGCAGCTGAAATATGTAGGGTTCCTCTGCCTGGCGCTGTTCCAGCAAATAATTATCAATCTGCAGCTTCAAGTGCTGCTCCTTGATCTTGTCCAGCAACGGGGTGTGCACACTAATCCTAGCCAGCTCCAGCTGCGGGTACAAATGTGGCAACTCGATGCGCACATCTACACACTGCTTGGCAGTCACAGTCAGCCGGATGATGTACTCCAAGTGGGACCGCAACGACGCCTCTGACTCCGACTGCAGAAACTCGCTGAAGTCCGCTACGACCCCGGCATCGAGCAACTGCAGCTCACCCGCCGCACAGTAAATGGAACTCAGCAGATCTAACTCCTCCAGCTGCAGGCCGATGCAGCGTCGATAGACTTGCAAATCCATGGCCAATGGCTAACGGAAATTGAGAGAGAGTTGTTTGATTTAGTCTCGGCCTCAGCTTAGCTCTTGCTGCAAACTTGATCAAAGCTGTCTGGAAATTCTTGCGTATCATCAAATAGATATTCTAGATGATTGCTATAAATAATAAGCTTGACTACTATAGAAAAGCGTTGAACAACTCTGTGATCAACAGGCATACAATGCTTAAAGCTCAATTCAATTCGCTTTCATGTATAGTAAATTAAATATATATATAGTCTTAGATACGTCTTAGAATACGTAGTTAACATATATAAATATATAGAGACATGCATATATATAGAGACATAAAGCAACAAAATATAGATTATGTTTGTTGTTCATATCTATTTCTGTATTTTGTACTCAGAATAGTACTCAGAATTTATGCTAAACATTTTAAAGTCTTATTTGCCACGCCCCAGTGTACGGACAATTATAATATATTCGCTCAACTTCATAGATATTTAACACCAACTCACAAACCATTTTATGGTACTGGCATAACTATAGAAGCTATCGATGTACCAGATTTGCCATGTCTCGAATGGGCATAGATATATGCACCATATCTTTTTGTTCTTTCCATTCCACACATCAACTGTCTTAAACGCATTTTCGAATCGCCTGTCCTGTCTATCCTGCCCCTAGATACCATCTT